ACCTTTTCCTTTCCTTTGGATGAGCTAGATTTGTAACAGCAAAGATAAATAATCAGACTAACCAAAGAAAAACTTAAACCCATACCCAAACCCCCGTAATTAACTAACACAAACATAACAATAGAGCAAACAACCCTCACCTAGATGGTATGGCAGCAGAATCTGAAGCTGCGAAAGGTACACCTGAGCAGGCAGCATCAACATTCCTTCCTGACCAGAATAGGACTGACTTAGGGTTTGGGACGAAGAAACACTGCCTGTGACATCTGGAACTCCTGTAAGACCAAGCACTGGGCCCTGAACATCACGGGGCATAATTCGGAAAACACGGAATTCACCCGTAGATACTCCACTTGACCCAACCATCGGAAGCTTGACCTCAAACCTGACAAACTGGCCGAGCAAAGCCTCAAGTTCAGGCGGCAACTGGCCAGACCTGTGAGGATATCTCTGGGCAAGCAGTTGGGCAGATGTGAGCACCAAATTGTTCCCACACGGGCCGAAAATAATGAAAGGGGCCTCGTCAGTGGCATCACGCAGGGTCAATTGGATCTTGTAGCTAGAGATGACACAGTAAAAAGCAAAGACAATTCAATCAGGACAGGCATAGGAGTGCAAACTCAAAAAATTTGGCAAATTCTCTAAGACCTGACAGGCACACAATGAAATAAACAAAAACAACAACTAATGATCAGACAAAACACACACCCAATTGTCACTTGCTGCTCAGTGATCTCCCAATGGTCAGGACACCAGTAGTTACCATTTCGCCACGTGAACACTTTTTTCTGCACATGCTGCATGACATGTAATACCACGGGCTCCGGGACTCGACCGATCGGATTATACCATCGCAACGATGCTTTTCATCCTGAATATAAACATTGATAATCCCAAAAAGCAATAAAAAAACATAAATAAATGGACAACTCGAAGACCAGTCTAAAATCAAGAACTACATCGGAATGCAACTCACGATAGAAGCACCGCTATGGTGCAAATCAAGAAGCTCAGCTATGGTCCTGGTTCTCCGCTCAGCATCAGCAACAGCATCCCCTGGGGTTGCAAACTTGATCGGTAAATCAGCAACAGGAACTCTGGATCCACCAAAACTGCATAGATGGACACAAAAAAGTCAAGCAAACCAAACACCACAAAGCAAATCCAGAATAACAAAATCACAGTTTAACAACAAAGAACCCACAAAGCAGCGAGGCTGTAAGCTTCTGGTATCCTCGGGCTAACAACTATACGGGTTCCAGAGGAGCTCGAACAGGAATATTCACCGGCTGCACAACAAAAACAAAATCAGTTCACAATTTATGATCAAGCAGAATGGAAAGGGGTTAAAATACACACCTATCAAACGACCAACCATGAGCCCCCCAACTCCAACGATCACTGGCTCAATGGAGTCCGCCTGAATCAAAGCAGGTCGATCAAGGACTGCCGTCAGTTCATTCCAAAGCGTGATTGACACTCTCTGGCCCCTGATAGCAAAACAAAGGATCAGATCTTACGTGAAGGTGACAAAACAGTATTCCCCAGTGCAAAAATAAAATCACAGAAAGACCTACTATGCATTCTCAAGGACCAGAACTTGTTTTGGAGTCGAACCGTGATTAGTAACCTGATGATCAATCCCGCTAATAGAATGAAGACGGCCGACAACATCTGACCGAAAAAAAAGAGCAGTAAGAAGACATAAAGCCCAATCCAATTCAGTCAAGAAAACGCAATAATCACCTGCAAGGATACGATTGTCCCTTGAACGGTTAGACAGCTCACTATAAGAAACAACCTCAAAGGAATCAGTTGGAAATTCAGCTGCAGGCAGAGAACAGGCCTGGAAAATAGTTGTTGCTGACAACTCTATTATCAGATCAAATGAGCAAGCACGATAGAGATTCCTTGCGGCACTGAGACCAAAAGACCTAAGAACGTAGATAACTCCCACGCGTAGCACACGCTCAAATTCAGACCCAATAGAGACATCAGCCAGGCTCTGAATGAGCATACCCTAAATTAAAAACAAAAAAAGACAGTCAATAAAGAGCAAAGAAGGAAAAAAAAAGAGCAAAAAACAGAAAGCACTGTAATCACAAAGAATCAGCGTAAGAGAATCACCGTCTGATCCACCCAGAGGCAACAGTGATTAAACACCCTTGTCCCAGAAGGATTCTTGGCAAACCACATATGGAGCAGACGAAGCCTCAGAGTCACCTCTCTGGTACCTCCTTTGAGATTGCAGAGCAGAGTAGCATCCATGGTGAGGAAAAAGGCGAGAAAACAACGAATGAACCACAGAGAACAAAGAGGGGAGAAGAAAAAGAGAGAAATGCGTTCCGAGAATGAGTCCTCTTGTGCAAAAAGAATGAGAAATACCCTTCTCCACCTGAGCGCACGCATCGAGGCACTGAATGACGTGTACAGAGCTGGAAGCAGTAAACTTTTTGACACCCTCCCGCCCTCAGGTGAATAACCGGTATCAATCAGTTGTCCACCATTCCCAAAGCACCTCCAATCCCAGCCAATCAGCCGCCAAGTTTCTCCAACACAGTCCTGCCAACAACAGCCCAACACGACCCTCTAGGAATCCCTAACAGACACAATCATATCACGCAAGACTCACTGAGGACATCTGAAGGCCCCGTCCCTCAGGTGAATAACCGGTATCAATCAGTTGTCCACCATTCCCAAAGCACCTCCAACCCCAGCCAATCAGCCGCCAAGTTTCTCCAACACAGTCCTGCGAACAACAGCCCAACACGACCCTCTAGGAATCCCTAACAGACACAATCATATCACGCAAGACTTACTAAGCACATCTGAAGGCCCCGTCCCACGTGGCCGGGCAGGGGCAAAGTCACATACCGATCTCTGATGACCAACGCGCGTCCGGGCCACCAAACGACCGCAACTAAGGCCAACCAGAAGCCAACGACCAGTCCCACCCCGACCGAGCCCCCAAACTCCGTCAGATCCCAATGAGGCCTCACCCAACAACAGCCCACACGCCAGCCCACGCCAGTTTGAAACAGTAAATCTCAGTCACGTTGTATAGTAAAAGGTGTCTGCGTGTACAGTACACGGGCATGCGGCGGGTTTCTTTCTTTCAATTGGCTAAAATATAATGTATTTTAAAGTTATTCAATGGTTCAACCTCGACCAACCCAATTAGTCCAATTTTTATCATTTTAAATATATATTATGTAATTATTTGATATCATAATGATTAAATTATAGTGTATATTATAGGGAATCGTTTGGTATTTGTTAGTAAAAAACTAAACAGAAAGATCTGTTTGGTTATTTTTAACATTAAAACGATCTTAAACATTTCCAGTTTCCTTTCGAAATTCTATAGTTTTATTCCCAAATCAGTGATGTGCAAATGGCGAATTGCAGTCATATCTTTTCTTTCATCATTTTTTATTTTCAAATAGAAAGTTTAAAAGTAAAGAATAATTAGAGTTTGGCATGGGTCGGTCAAACATGCTGAATTTCAAGTTTTTGCGCGTTTTGATCAAGTCTAATTTATAATCACATGATTCCCTAATACCCGATAAAAATCTCAATCCAAACCAGTTTGGCAGGTGAGTCCGTGTTTACCACCATTTTCTAGGGATACAGGAACAGTGGTTTCTATCCCAAATCGTTTTGTTCATTCTTGATTTCTTTAGATTTTATCATGGCTTGGCAAAAAAACCAGAAAGCACAATGATGACAAGATGAAAGTTTTATAAAGCAAATTAATCGGCCAACGGGCCGAGTAAAAGCTAGCAACGATTGTGAGATGCTCATTTCCCGAAAATCGACAGGATCGGCGATTTTTTATTCGATTTTCTGGAATTCGGTTTCTATAAAACTTACTCCACCTCGTCATATTACCAGAAACAATATTGTTTGACAAGTTAACAGGTACTTGATTTTGGTTTATAAGGCTGATTTTTTATTCGTTGCATCATTCATGTCTCTTTCCTACTAAAATTCACTATTTTTATCACGTGTTTCCCAAAAATAACTATACAACAATAAGCTATACACTTCATTACATTATCAAATTTCATACCTCACCTTTCTCCGGGGCCACGCTAGTTGTGAATAAATTTACCCAGGTTCGCACACACAAAAAACATCTTCGCCCATTCTCGCCGGAGGAAAAGTATGATATATGTGCGGTCTTCTCTTATTTATTTGCTTCATTAAAACTAAAGAAATCATTTATTTATTTATTTATAAGGTAAATACTAATTATTAGTCAAATCTTTCACGTATTTTTAAATATTAGTCAAAGTATTGAGAATATAAAATATTAGTCAAATCTTTTCTAATACATCAAAATATTATGTAATTTTCTATTAATGATAATAATTTTACAATTTTTTACTTAGTTAAAGTACTAAGATTTTAGAATGTTGATTATCATATGTCTCTTCAAAGTCAGTATTATGTTGTCAAGTCAATATTACTAACAAAACTATTAACTCGAAGTTAACATTTGGCTAATGTTTTGTATTTTGAAAAGTTTGACTAATATTAAAAAATGCATAAAGATTTTGCTAATAATTATTATTACCCTTTTATAATTAAATAAATCATTTATTAAAATGCAGAGAGACCCTCGATCGGGAAGTGTGAGTACTCGTGTTCGACCCACCTCGAGGCCAACTGTGATGTTTCCGAAGGCACCAAAAGGGTATTTTAGTGAAAGGCCCTAAAGACTCAAGCAGGTAAACCGTAGATTTGATCTCGCTCCGTCATTACTGGTGTGTGCGTGGAGATGTTATTGTGTTATAAAAAAAATCGTAAATACAATATATTAGCCACAACTATTAAAGTGTTCAAAATACTAGCCATAACTATCAAAATACAAAATAATAGTCAACCGTTAAGTCTCTGTTAACATTTCTGTTAGATGATGGCGAGTTGACAGATTTTATGCTGACATGGAAGAGATATTCTCATGTGCTAGTCAACGAAAAATGATACATCAACCAGTCAACCTTTATAATTTATTTATTAAAAAATAAAAAATTAATAAAGCATTTATTCCTATTTTATAAAAACAAAACAAAACACCCACAAAAGTCACAAGATTATTATCCTCTTCTGTGTTATCCTCTCCTCCGACGAATTCCGTCGCCATCGCCCATCACCTAACGAAGAATCAAGGATCGCTGACGGCGAAATAGCACTGTCGCTACCCCTCGATGGTTATTGTACCTCGATTCATTGTCAGCCAACCCTTTTCCCCAATGGGCTCAAGTCGTAACTCATCCCTTCTTTCTCAATCGACCCCACTGTTTGTCTTCCCTCGATCTCATTGAGCGGTTCCTCTCCGCCAAATCTTCAGCGGAATGATTGAAGGCAGATTCTAGATCTGCCGGCAAGGAGGATGGCGGAGTTGAGGCATGAAGGCCTGCTCTCCTCTCCTCGAGCCTTTCGCCAACGCTGGAGCGAGGTAGACGGTTCAGAATCAGAGATTTCAAACGACGGAAGTGGTTGCGGTCGAAGGGGTCTTGGTCTGCGACTTCCCTACCGTCATTAGGTGCGCCTTGAAATGGCCGCACGCTTCCGTTCTCGTAATTGTGGTTGTCTAGCGGACCACCAGTGCAGGTGGAAGGAACTAGCAGGCGACGAAGTGCAGACGTGGCATGAGAGGGAGAGGAGAGGGGAGATGACTTCTGGAATCTGGACCGGGAGTGGCTGAGGAGGAGGACGAGAAGGAGGAGGGAAATCAACGGGAGAAGAGAGCATCACTTTCAGTTCAGGAAGGAGCAGTGGAAAAGCCCCAAATCTATTTTAGTTCACCAAAGAGAATGATAAGATTTTCTGGGAAAGAATGAGAGAGCCGAGGATGAAGACGCTCGATATAGCTATGACTAATAATTTGTATTTCAGCTATGACTAATAATTTGTATTTCGATAGTTGTGATTATTATTTGGGTTAATATTTTCGTATGGTCTGAACTTTGATCAAAATTAATATCCTGGCCAATCTTTTTGATCTATAACATCCTGGCGCGAACTATACATCAAAATAAACAATTTGGCCAGATCCGACTTTTGACCGTTAACTTGGACGGTCAAACGCGTTGATTGTTAGTCAACGCGCCATGTCACTGCCAAGTCAACATAAAATATCTAAAATAATTCACAATTTCCACACATTCTCTAATTTTAAATTATTATAAATTAAAAAAATCATATAATACCTTAGTTAAACCAAAAATAAAAAAAATAAAAAAATTAAATATTAATCAGATCTTCTGACTTGGCAGTGACGTGGCGTGTTGACCATTAGTCAACGCGTTTGACCTTCCAAGTTAACGGTCAAACATCGGGTTTGGCCAAATTGTTTATTTTGGTGTATAGTTCGGGCCAGAATGTTATAGATCGAAAAGATTGGTCAGGATGTTTATTTTGGTCAAAGTTCAGGCCATACGATAATATATTGATGGTGCTACCAAGAGTGGTCATGGAGGTAGTATTGGCTATGTCGGCTATCATATGACAAGTAATGTTCTGTTTGCTTTTGGGAAATTTTATGATGGGATTCGGGACCCTTTTCTCATGGAATGTTTAGCTCTATGGAATGCAGTACAGTGGTATCTAACTCATTCCTTTCTTGCTGTTTGTATTCATGGGGACTCTCAACTCTTGATCCGCCGGATGATTGGAGGTGATATGCATCATGTTCGGGGTGGCGCTATTTTGGAGGACGTTAGGAGCTTGTCATCTTCTTTCCACAGTGTTTCTTTCTATTTTGTTTCTCGTCAACTTAATAGGGCTGCCCATCATGTGGCACAAAAGGCCCTCTTATCGGGAGTTCGACTATTGGTCGACTCCCGCGCTTTACTTTTTTCCGGTTTGTGACTTTTGATTAATACTCTGACTTTGGGAAAAAAATGCAGCGAGTCAGTCATTGTTGCTGTCCCCAAGACCCCACCAGGCCACCACCAACCAACCATTTACAGTTAGGTGGGATTGTTTATTTGGAGTGTATATTTACATGCACGTTTAAGTTAGGTGGGATGGGTTGGAGATATGATGACAGAAATTGAAGAGGGAAGTCAAAGTGTCAAAGGGAAATTTCAGAAGTGTAATAATTAGGAAGAGAAGAGTGTTGTTCCTTAGTGACACTTTATAAGGTATTATAGGAAATAGTCGGATTTTAAGTTTATTATAGTTTTTAAAAATTAATAATATTAAAGTCTATACATTTAATGAACTTTTGAGTTGATTTTATCTTTAATTACAACTAGTAATTGTAAAAGTACAAGTCCAAAAGATGAAGAACCATACTAAAATTTATGTATTAGTGGATTTTCTACCACATTTTTTTGTCAAGTGGGTACTTAGTTCTCATACTCCTATCTTCAAACCTTCCCTCCACCACAACATACAAACTGGGTTAGGAGGTGCAAGTGTAACACAACAAATCTTTTTGCGCAAAAACTATCCCTATAAATATAGCTCCCTTTGCCCCTCGATTTTGAATTTTATTGCAAATTATAGATTGGTTCCTAAAATTAATAGGTTTCAAGATATAGTACATAAAAGAAAATTTTTTTGCGTATAAGTCCTAGAAATAATGATAGGAATTATAGTTTAGTACCTAAATTTTTATGTCTTACATTTTGGTGCCTAAACTTTTTAGGTAATTGCTTTCAATCTCCTATATTCGATTTCATCATAACCTCTTTTTTCCCTATAGTTAAGTATCTAAGTACTTTAACACATTACAAAAATATATGTGACTCTATTTTATAACAATTACGTTAATTGCAAATACATCACGTAAAACTTATAGAGCGATATTTATTCCTTATGTATCAATTAAATAGAACATATTACTTAAATCTTTCGTGATGACTAAGACAATATGTAAAGCTTATGGAGATTTACTAATTTATTTTGTACCAATTAAATAAACATAATACATAAATATTCCATAATACAAAATTGAATGAAGATTCAGGGATTTTTCCAAAAGTAGCAGTGTTTTAAAAAAAAAATTCCAAAAATAGCACCCAACTCCGAAAAATTCCAAAAATAGCACCCTTTTTGCAAAACCGCCACCCGGGGCAGCGGTTTAGGCGAAAACCGCCACCCGGGGGCGCGTTTTTCGATGGAATTCGCACTGTCAGGGGGCGGTTTTACAGACCGCACCCCCACCATGCGGTTTGGTTGCAGATCGCAACCCCACCATGCGATCTGCTTTTTTTTTTGTTTTTGAAAAATCCTAACCTAGGTGGAAATTTCAAACGAACGTATCTTTATGTTCGGGTATCCGATAGTCGCGAATTGTTTTTTGATTCCGCGTAACTTTACGAGATCTTGCAAGTCGAAGACTGCCGAAGGTGGTGTGGTCCCACCTTCGTCCCAAAAAATGTCGTTTGCTACCCCCGAACGAGCTTTTATCCGATTTCGTCAAAAACAAGACAACACTGTCTGTCTCAACCTCTCTGATACACAACAGACACATCCCGCAACCCGCTACATCTCCAACCACTGCGATCCCTTCCCAAATGAACATTCCAAAAGCAACTGAATAAACATCGATCCGCGCACCTATGCAGGCCCCAGGCATATAAAGGTCTCTGGTTGGTTGGTGACCAACGCGGTCGACAACCACCAACCGAACCAGCAACAAACAAATTAGAGTTCCATCACAACCGAGTTGGCAAATCCCATCTGATTCCAAATAGGCAACACCCAACACCCGCCCACATGCCACCCCACGCCAGGATAGAACACTACATTTAGGTTACAATGCACAGTAAAAGCAGTCTGTGTGTAGTACCAGGCCCTGCCGACATTTTTTGTCCAAAGTTTGACGAAATCGGGAAAAAGCTCGTTCGGGGTAGCAAACGACATTTTTTGGGACGAAGGTGGGACCACACCACCTTCGGCAGTCTTCGACTTGCAAGATCTCAAAAAGTTATGCGGAATCAAAAAAAATTCGCGACGATCGGATACCCGAACACAAAGATACGTTCTTTTGAAGTTTCCACCTAGGTTAGGATTTTTCAAAAAAAAAAAAAAACAGATCACATGGTGGGGGTGCGGTCTGCAACCAAACCGCATGGTGGGTGCGGTCTGTAAAACCGCCCCCTACCAGTGCGGTTTTCATCGAAAAACGCGCCCCCGGATGGCGGTTTTTGCCTAAACCGCTGCCCCGGGTGGCGGTTTTGCAGAAAGGGTGCTATTTTTGGAATTTTTAGGAGTTGGGTGCTATTTTTGGAATTTTTTTTTAAACAGGGCTACTTTTGGAAAAATCCCGAAGATTCATAAATTTTAACTAAATAGTTGACCATCTCATCAGCTTGCATTACACGAATTTTTTGTAAGGTTATTAAGTTGTTTACATAACATTTTAATCGTGTGAAAATTTTAAAATTTACTATTAATAACAATGTTCACCATCAAATCAATTTAGATTAGAAAAAGCTAACATTTACATTGTAGTTTAATCAAATTGAAACTTCCCATAACTTAATTATATTATTAGACCACACATTATGAAACATTTAGGTAACATCTTCTATAAAAAATACGTAAATTACAGATTCAGTAGGTAAAGTTGATAAAAAGATACGTATTTCTTACGTATTAAAAAATGTATTAAACAAAAAAAATCACAATAATAACACAAGAGATGTTGTCACCCTACCAGCTTCCTATGAGTTGGCATGTGTAACATCTCGTTCCGGCAAAAATCATATTTCGATCGCTAGAAAGTTCGCGATTTAAAATCGAGTATTTTGGCAGTATTTCGGCAAAAATCGGTTTATCAATCGATCGGATAAGTATGCGTATTAATATTATATATATATATATATATATATATATATATATATATATATATATTAAAAAGTGTGAGTGAGACGGTCGGATATATATATCCCGTCCCAACCCCTCCATTTCCATTATTTTCATTCTCTGGACGAGAGAAACCGAGAGTACAGGGCGCGCAGGGGAGACAGAGCAGGAAATTCTCTGAGCTCCAATCTTGAGCCCTAGTGATCCAAAAATCCCGTAAGTAATGCCTAATTCATCCATACATCGTGATTTATCGATTTAGAGCTTTAAAACGAGTTTTTAGTTCAGGAATTTCTTGAATTCCGGATAAGCCAAATTAGGGTTTCGGAGTATCCGGAAGCCGGATTGAGCCCAAATTTCATATACTAGCTTCCTGCAGCGAGGTAATCAATCCTCTAGTTCTAATCCCTGAATTTCGGCAATTATTTAGGCCGGGGTCCAAACCGCTGAATTTAGCTCCGGCCAGGGTTTGATGTGTTTTTATCGAGAATTTGACCCGGAGCCTAGAACTAATATTGACGGGGATACTGCAGGGGATATTAGGACGGTCTCGGATTTTAATTCGGGGTTCGTTCCTGAAATTGATGTTTTAGTACGGGAAGGTTAAACCAGTGTTTGAACGACCAGAACTGGTGAGGGATTAGCATGGCATACCGGGTTTGTCGTATCACGATAATTATATTGATGCTTAGAATTGATCTAGGTGAACTAGAATGGCATGATTAGGGGTGTATGAACTTTTGTGCTATATGTTGAACCCTGGATTGCTGTATGATATTATTGACTTGCCCTAATCGATATGAACCTTGTTTATGCTGATGATTGTGTATATGTTGCAAATTGTGGGCTGGACTGTTAATATGCTTTACGATGGTTCGAGAAGGTGATTAGGTATGACTTTTCATGATTGTTGTATTTGGATGCACAAGTGGGAAAATATATATTCCCTGGTGATATTATGATGTTTAAGGAGGATGACTTGCACGAGGGTTTATCCCGAGGAAGTGCAATTATACGACTCCTGATTACCTATGTTGAGCCAATTATGGCAAGGTCAAGTACATGTGCAAGTAATGAATTATGATTAAGCAAGATGAGATATAAATCATGTATAACGATACCAAATATGAGTGTTGTGGTCTCACGGTCAACTACATAGTAATTAAGGCTCCCTATGCTATTACTCTATTATGATATGTATGATAGTCACACCTCTCATGTGGTGGTGACTGAAGAATTCTTACGAGATATGACCAAACCCAGAGCGGTGTCGGGGTATGACTACACCCATAGTGGTGTGGGGTATGTATGACCACATCCGATGGGATGTTGGGGTATGTATGACTACATCCGACGGGATGTGGAGTATGTTTCCCGGGAGAGTTATTAGCATGGGAGTAGCCAGGCGCCTATAAGTAAAACATGATAAGATGCATATGCATAAGTCAAGGTGGTTGAGTCCTTTGCCTATTGGGATGTCGGAGGGCTGAGATCTGATCCCAGTGCTTTGGCTTGTTTGCTAGATGTATGGTAGGGGTATGCTCTGTTATGAACTCACGATGCTATGATTATCTCACTCAGCTATGAGCTGACCCTCTTTTATTCTTCTTCTCTGCTTATGCTATGTGTAAGCAGATCATCAGCAGAAGCAGATAAGTGTTAGGTGGGAGAGGAGCTAGAGTTGAAGGCAAGATGAGGTATGGTCTTCAGCTATTCTGTGCTTGGACTATTACTCGGGATTTTGGCCAGTGATCCACACCTTTTTGTAAAAATGTTTTGAGAACGTTTTTCATGTGCATACTAGCTTCTGATCTAGTGTGAGATATCCACAGGTGTGGAAAGTTGATGATATGTGTATATGTTGTGTAACTGTGTAAGTTGTGACGATTATGGTATGTATAAGTATGGTATGCAGTTGTGGAGTATGAAAAGTGTGACCATGGCTAAGAAAAGCCAATGCATATGGTTGTGAGTATATATGTTTGTGATGAATTATTTTGCAGGATAAGTTGCAAGAACTGTTAGCCCATTACGCGAGTAATTTATGTCGAAATTTTATTTGAGTAAATTTTGATAATTAATGTAACACCCGAGATTAATTCTGCTGCAATTGTATGAACAATATGATTAGGCAAAACGTATAGGGTAGGGTGTTACAACATGCATCCCAAGAGCACTTCTACTATGCTATAAAGCATTGGTGCTTTAATGTACAACTTGAAATCGTACCATAACGTTAAATGTATAAGTTCAGGTTGTACCATGAAGGAATTTGTACCCTTATGTTATGGTACAACTTTACAACTTAAAGTTGTACCATCACATAATGGTACAAGTTCAAATTGTACCATAAAAGAATTTGTACAAAACAGTATAGGTACAATCTGAAGTTGTACCATAACGTTGAAAGTACAACTTCGAGTTGTACCATAAAGGCAAAAACTTATAGTACCAATGCTATATAGCATTGTAAAATTCCTCTGCATCCCAATTCTTTATTTATAATATTGGTTAATAAATTATTATTATTATTATTATTATCTATGTAACATTACATATTAAAATCACTATTCCTTACTATATTCAATTTCAATCATGACCTCTTTTTTTCCTATACTTAACTATCTAAGTACTTTTCATAAAAAAAACTATCTTACTACTTTTTCACATTACAAAAGTATGTGTAACACTATTTGATAACAGATTTACTATAAATACATTATGTAAACCTTACATAACGATATTTATTCCTTAAATATCAATTAAATAGAACGTATTGTTTAAATCTTTCCTTGAATAAGACAATATGTAAAGCTTATGGAGATTTACTAATTTATTTTGAATCAATTAAATATACATAACTTTTCCGCGATACAAATTTGAATGAAGATTCATAAATTTTAACTAAATAATTTACAATCTCATCAATTTGCATTACACAAATTTTTTCTAAGGTCGTTTAGTTGTTATATAATATTTTGATAAAATGTGATACTTTTAAAATTTATTATTAACTATAATGTTCACCATCCAATCAATTTAGATTAGAGAAAAATTAATGTTTACATAGTAGTTTAATCGAATTATACTTCCCATAATTTGATTATATTATTAGACCATACATTATAAAATATTTAGGCAGCACCATTCTATAACAATTATGTAAATTACAGATTCATTACGCAAAGCTTATAAAGAGATAATTTTCTTATGTATTAAACAAAACATATTACTCTAGTCTTCCATGTAGCTCGCACGGATGTTGTCATAATGTTCCTACTGACCAGTCGAGAGGAGTGGGGGCGGTTGATGCAAGGCCGCCAGTATTAGACTATGCAAAGATGAAGAGTTTGGGTGGTAGGGACTTCAAGGGAGATGTGAGCCCAGATGCTGTAGTAGAGTGGTTGAGAGAGATGGAAGATGTGTTTGAGTATCTTTATGCAACCCCAGAGGAAAAAGTGCAATATGTTGTTTTTCTCCTAAAGGGGTACGCGAGGAGCTGGTGGTCCTCAGTTTCTAGAGTTAATGGTGAACGAGTTCAGTTCACCTGGGAGGAGTTCCTGAAGGCCTTTAAGACAGAGTTTCTTCCCGAAGCTTTTATCAGGGCAAAGAATAATGAATTCGCCAACCTTAAGCAGGAGAACATGACAGTTACTGAGTACACCATCAAGTTTGTTCGACTACTCTACTTTGAAGATGGGTTGGCGGATACTGAGCATAAGAAGAAGATGAGATACTTACATGGTCTGCGCCTAGGGTTGAAAGAAAAGATCCACAGGGTTGATGAAGAGAGTATGGCCACTATCAAGGAGGCAGCACTTAAGTATGAAGCCTATGAAGTTGAGGGTAGCGAGGAAAACAAGGCCAAAGAAGAGGAGAAGAAGAGGAAGTTTGGAGTAAATTATGCTGGACCTCATTACCCACCCAGGAGAAGTCCTAGCAGTTTTTGGAGAACACAGAGTCAATCTATGTCGGGAACATCATACAGGGCACCAATTTCCTCAGCCACACAATTTCCATTTTGTCAAGTTTGTCAGAAGAGGTATCTTGGAGAGTGTAGGAGATTTTCTGGTGTATGCTTTCACTGTGGCCAACCTAGGCACATCATGAGGGATTGCCCGCATTCGAGAGAAGTAAGAGCTACACAGTCCGAGCCTTCAGTGCAATTTAGTAGAGCCCTATTCAGGGGTGGTTACCAGGGAGGCCGTAGTGGATTTCAAAGTGGTCGTGGTGGTTCACAGGGTGGTAGAGGTGGTGGTCGAAATCAGCCATCAGGAAGTGGTACACAGGGTACCAGAGGACAAGGAGCATCGAGGGTTTATGCAATGACTCGAGGTGAGGCAGAAGTGGCACCAGAAGTTGTGACTGGTATGCTTTCTATCCTTGGCAAGCAATTATATGCTTTGATCGATACTGGTTCCTCTCACTCATTCATGTCATATACATTTGCACATATGCTACGCTTAGTTCCAGATAAGCTAGGTTATACCTTATGTGTTAAAACACCTGTGGGAGATACCTTGAAGGTAGACTCAGTTATTAGAAGTTCCTTCATTTGTGTGGATGGAGCTTTCCTAGCAGCAGATTTAATTCTGCTACCTTTTGATGAATTTGATGTCATCCTTGGAATGGACTTTCTAGCAACACATGGAGCTGTTGTGGATTGTCAAAAGAAAGAAGTGTTATTTAACGCACCAGATAAAGGTCCCGTTGTATTCCGAGGCATTAAGAAAAAGGAGACTCATGGTTTTCTTTCTGCCTTGGAAGCTTTTCGATTAGTAAAGGAAGGTTGTGAAGCCTTTCTTTCTCAAGTTACTGTTGTAAATGATAAGAAGGTTGAGGATGTAGAGGTGGTAAGGGAGTTTCCTGATGTATTTCCCGAAGAACTTTCCAGCCTTCCACCAGAAAGGGAAATAGAGTTTGATATTGAATTAGTACCTGGCACAACACCAATTTCAATGGCACCCTATAGAATGGCACCAATTGAGCTGAAGGAACTTAAAGAACAATTGCGAGAATTGCTAGACAAGGGGTTTATTCGACCTAGCATCTCACCATGGGGTGCACCGGTTTTGTTTGTCAAGAAGAAAGATGGCTCCATGAGAATGTGCATTGACTACCGGAGGTTGAATAAGGCGACAGTGAAGAATCGTTATCCCCTTCCAAGAATAGATGATTTGTTTGATCAATTTGAGGGTGCATCTGTCTTTTCTAAGATTGATTTGAGGTCTGGATACCATCAACTGAAAGTGGCAGATGGAGCGACCTCAAAGACAGCTTTTAGAACAAGATATGGGCATTATGAGTCCCATTAATGTGGCAGCGGTATTTATGGCTCTTATAAACAGAGTGTTTCATGAATATCTTGATAAGTTTGTGATTGTGTTCATAGATGATATTCTCATCTATTTTAAAAGCGAGGAGGAGCACAAAACTCACCTTAGAATTGTGTTGCAAATTCTAAGGGAGAAACAATTATATGCAAAATTCTCAAAATGTGAGTTTTGGCTGAAGGAGGTAATATTTCTGGGACATGTAATTTCTGGAAGAGGTGTCGAGGTGGATCCGAAAAAGGTGAAAGCAGTGGTGAGTTGGGCTCCACCAAAAGATGTGTCGGAGTTGAGAAGTTTTCTTGGCATGGCTGGTTATTATCGGCGGTTTGTCGAAGAATTTTCTAAAAAACTATCTAACTACTTTTGCACATTACTAAAGTATGTGTATCACTATTGATAACAGATTTACTATAAATACATTATGTAAACCTTACATAACGATATTTATTCCTTATATATCAATTAAATAGAACGTATTGTTTAAATCTTTCCTTGAATAAGACAATATGTAAAGCTTATGGAGATTTACTAATTTATTTTGAATCAATTAAATATACATAACTTTTCCGCGATACAAATTTGAATGAAGATTCATAAATTTTAACTAAATAATTTACAATCTCATCAATTTGCATTACACAAATTTTTTCTAAGGTCGTTTAGTTGTTATATAATATTTTGATAAAATGTGATACTTTTAAAATTTATTATTAATTATAATGTTCACCATCCAATCAATTTAGATTAGAGAAAAATTAATGTTTACATAGTAGTTTAATCGAATTATACTTCCCATAATTTGATTATATTATTAGACCATACATTATAAAATATTTAGGTAACACCATTCTATAACAATTATGTAAATTACAAATTCATTACGCAAAGCTTACAAAGAGATAATTTTCTTATGTATTAAACAAAACATATTACTTTAGTCTTCCGTGATGTAAGATACTACATAAACTTTATGGAGGAATACGAATATTTTATGTATCAATTAATAAACATAATACATAAGTCTTTCGTACTATGAACTGGAACAAAAACTCCTGAATTTTATTACATGCAATATTCAGCATATAATTAATTTGCATTCCACAATATTTTGTAAGGTAAGTGAATTTTATATAATAGTTTATTCAAATGTGAGACTTACCTCATAATTTGATTTTATTATTAATCACTATAGAAGACTAACGTAACACATGTCTATAACAATATATAGAAATTATAATACATTACATAAAAACTATAAACAGATAGTTATTTTCTTATATATTAATCAAATAACTATATATTATGTAAATCTTTGGACGCACATGGATGTATTATAACCGAACTACTTAATGACCTATTTGATTCAAACTAAGTGATTAAATAAGAGGGTAATTTTTTTTAATACAACTAGTTTTATTGCCGTTGTGAATTACGGATAAAAGGCTAGTGAATTAACTTAAATATACAGGGAATGTCTTACAATGCAAAGAAACAGTGGAAGGAGGAATAGTCGTTTATTCTTGGGACACACATACATATTACAAAACCACATTTATTCTTAGGGATGATCAATATGGATCGATGAATAGTCGTTTTGACTTATTAACACGCTGTTGCAATTTGGAGGAGACAGCTGACCAACTCTTTTGGTTTGCAGAACATGAGTTTGTGGTCTCCTCCAGGAATGCTATAAACCTTGTCTGGCTTAAAGTTTTCGATCTGCCACAGCTGAAACTCCTTTGTGAGGATCAAGTCTTCTTCGCCATAGATGTAGACTCTCTTCACCGAACCATATCCTTCCTCTGTGAAGTTGTTCCTTTTGGCCAAATTATCTCGAAACAACGACCCTTTCCTTGTCAACATTTTTGCCAGTTCATAATCCTTCAGTAGTAGCACGTAGATGTCAACATGCATATATATAGCTGAGAAATTGCTTTGGATCCAAGCATGTCAATATTTATTTTATTTATTGTACCTCAAGTGGGGAGTTTTGGTAGATGTTCTGCTTCATAAGCTCATGCCCAAGCTTGACCGATTCTACCGTCTCATTCCTGATTTTGTATGGAGAGAACTCAGAGTCTTTCCAGTCAGAAAAGAACTTCTCCCCCAACTGCATGAATTAACTCACATGATTAATTTGAAGCTGGTCTAAATAGGAATTATGTTACTCACGTTATCTATAGAGAACATTGTTATCTCAATATTAAGACCGATGATAATGTAGGGATTCATGACCGACCATTGAGTAACTAAGTCGATCTTGACAGACCCATCAAGCGAATTTAACCAGATTTAATACAACCCCATGCTAAGTAAGAGGAAATGGTAGTGATTGAGTTTGCGGAGAAAACCGTTGATTGTGTGGTCTGGTGTTTGAACGCATTCATTAGTCTGTCCAAATCAACGATTACTCAACACAACGGAGGATTCTGAATGATTGTCTAGTAGGGTATATAGAGAGAATTTTTTTAACACTATAGATACCAAGTGTATTCTACAATTATTTCGGAATATGAAAACACATCATAGACTTTTTTTAACCTGTACGAGTAAGGTATTTTCATATTTACGATTTTATTTTTATTAATTATTTTTATTTAATTTATTTTTTAAAAGAGGACACCCCTATAAAATATTTCTGGTGTCAGTATAACTATATGTATTTGGAAAGAGGTAAACATTTCTTAAAAAAAAAGAGGAAACATAATTTAAAATTATCATTGCCTACAGCTAAACAGAAAGTTATGGTACTTTTGGAACCCACTTAGAGAAACTTTGAGCTATCTCAATCACTCAACTGGTAGGTAGAATTAATCGAGCATTTTTACTATGCTATATAGCATTGGTGCTTTAATGTACAACTTGAAGTTGTACCATAACATTACATGTATAAGTTTAGGTTGTACCATAAAGGAATTTGTATCATTATGTGATGGTACAACTTCAAGTTGTAAAGTTGTACCATCACATGAGGTACAAGTTTAAGTTGTACCATAAAAGAATTTGTACAAAAAGTATATGTACAAATCTGAAGTTGTACCATAACGTTAAAAGTACAATTTCAAGTTATACCATAAAGAAAAAAACTTATAACACCAATGCTATATAACATTATAAAATTCCTCAAATTAATGGTGTGTACGAACTCTTGATTAATGCAATGCAATGGAAGCTATTATAGAAAGAATAAAGCTCATTATATATATAAATTTACCGTATCCAGAACATAAGACGGCTTGTGTTGGGTGTCAGGCATGAGTGCATTGGTGTAGACGGCGGCCGCAATCCTTTGCGGGAACTTGTCGGCGGCGATGGAGATATAAACCCCGCCGCAGCTCTCCCCGACCAGAATCACCTTCTCGTCTTCGGGAAGAGATTCCAGCAGCTTGAGCAAGGGCTCCAAGTACTCTTCCACCGACCCGATTTCTTCGATAGTCCGCGGGTCGACTCCACTCGCTGCCAGATCGATGGCACTCACCTTGTGCCCGCCGGCGGCTTCAAGCAGCGGCTTCACCTTGTACCAAACCCATGCGCCGTGGCAGGCTGTATGAACCAACACGAAATGCTTCTTACTACTGTCACTCACCATTTCCATATGTTAAGCGTACCCACTTAACTACTTGGTTTTGATGAATTTGGACTCAAATGAAAAATGGAGCCAAGCGCCTATAGGTAATACTATATTAATATTGGAGTTCGAAGAGAGGCCCGGCTCACTGATTCATTTGACATTATACGTGGTGTCGTGTTGTGTATGATTTTCGTATCAAATGAATTATTGATGACATGTATTGGTGGCCCTGGACCTGTCCTCAATGCGACAGGTGATTCCATGTCAAAGTAGTGACCACAAGATTTACGTGATTTTCTCAACGTTGATCGTTGAGTCTAGTTCACAGCATAAGGCAAAACTCTTTGTTTATTACTCATGTACTCATTACACATAGAGTTCGGCCACTTCTATATATATATATATCCGGCCGAACTTAACCAGGTTAATTATATTTAAGTACTCAAACTTCTAACAACATTTACCCTACAATTTAGCCTATGTTGCTCCTTGCTCCATTGGAAACTAAAGATGATAGATTTGTTAAAATGCAGAGAGTTGGTTTGAAATAATGAGCAATGATAGGTCGTTGGCTCGTTGATGTTGTGCCCCCAGCCCCCCCACCAATCATTGATAGTTAGGTGGGATGGTTTGGAGTGTACCGTTACATGCACGTTTCAGATAGGTGGGATGGTTTGTAGGTAGGGGTGGGCAATGGGCGGGTTGGATGGATTTTGGTCTAAAATTGACCCACCCGCTTAGTAGCGGGTTGGAATATATGTGACCCGCAATCCACCCACATACTTATGCGGGTTGGGTTGGGTGGGTGGCGGATGGGTGCGGTTGGGTCGCGGGTTAACCCGCAAAAGCAATTCTCCAACTAACCATTAAGAAAATTGACTAACATTTATAATAAGTTCATAGCACATTAGTAAGATTGTATCAATAATTTGCGATTTCGATACAATTAATAATTTATAGTTTGTGTCCCAATATTTAATGGATATTAACAATAATTTGCATACCAATATCCATTTGCACAACACAATAACCAATAATAGTAGTCAAAATTATTCTTTATTCTCCATCTTTTGCAGTATATGGTCAGACTATAGTGCATTTTGAAAATATAATGAATATTGGATACTATAAGAAACAACATTTTTCCATGTACAAAATAGAATGCGGGTCATACGGGTGACCCGCAATCCACCCGCCATCCACCTACATAAGTGCGGGTGGGAGATTTAACAATCCGCAATCCACCCACATCAATCACCCATTGCATGCGGGTCGGGTTATTTGCGGGTGGATCGATATCAATCCGCGGATTAACCACCCACGTGTAGGTAGAAAATAACCACTATTGGTGAGAATGGAGCACTCACTCAGCTTAGCTTAGTAGTTAGAGCCATTTTATTTGAGACTCGTATGTGTAAAAAGTGATTGTACTATCAGGGGTACTTTTTCTTCCTACTTTCACCATGAGGATGAGGTAACAAAAGATCCGATTCTAGTAGGGTCAAATAGGGATTTTCCATTTGTTGCCTTTTAAACAAGAATCCGTGTATTGTACAAATTGAACAAGTGTGTATATTTGCTAAATCGTAAATGATGACGTTGTTTGAGGTATAGTTTAGTAAAATATTATTTGGTATAAATAAATTTTATAAGTTTTTGGGAATTCGTTTTGAAATGAATTTTTTGTTTGTTCGGTATGGAAAAGAATTCATTTCTAAATTTTGAATTCTACTCAATTAAAACTAGTTATAGTAATTCCGAGGAATTGAGATGATAATTCCAAATGAATTCCTTATTATTTTACTAATGATAATAAAATGACATAATTATCCTCATTTATTAACTAAATTACTTCTGCACATAGTATTTGGCACCAATACACAGGCTATGCGCTCCTTACCCTCCTCTTTCCGCAGTTATGTTAAGCGGCAACCTGGATAATATATAGTTTCTCCTAAACACTTCATTCTGGGTGATTACAAATTCCACTCTAAGGGCTAAGCGGCAACCTGCTATTTGCCAACAAAAGCACCTCTCCTGCTATTTTCTTGTATTTACCGAAGTTTGGCATCTGGTACTATTCTCAAACCCTTAAAAGATTAAAATTTAGGTTTTAATTCTATAAATCTCATACATTAAATTCAATTCAATTTGAAACAAAAATTGACGGTTATGATTCGTAGAAATATATGCAACAAATTACGTGCACAATTTTAGGGGCTAGACTCTATTATTTATATAATTAAGACCTAGAGTTCACTCATCAAGGGTTAGGGTATAGTATCATGCCAAAAATTCGGTTAATTTGAGGTCTAGAAAGCGTTTTTCTAGTCAAGATATGTTGTACCCTAAATTTTACCCAAGTTACCATAGAAGCCGCCACCACACACATATTCACTTCTGAATATGAGAAATAATTTGGAAACTTTTAGCTGAAAACTTTTAATTTAAGCCGATCCTAAACGGATGCCAAATTTTGTTTGGGAAATTAATTCATTTTGTTTTTAAAAATGACAACGAATTCTATACATTAATTCATTTTAAAATGAATCGAATTCCTAATTCATTTAGTACCGAAGAGTCTATAAAAGTTAATTCACAATAATCATCCTAAGAGTTAGTCTCGTTGAAAATGGTAAAATGATTTCCATGCTAATAGTAATTCAGATCCTAATCATAAATGATTTCCACCCCTAAAGCTTAATTAAAATCCAAAATATTTATTCCCCGCATCAAGCCCTATTACATCTTCGCCGTTTTCTGCCCGCTTGTCGAGCGGGCGCCCATCCTCGCGGGGGGAAAAAATTATAATATGTATGGTTAAGGCTATTAAACGATTATCTTGTTAGTAGTGTAAACAATAAATGAATCGACAATCGGTAGTTAATAGTTACACCGGTAACATATTAAAGAGTAAATGGTCGGTTACTGGTAGTCAAATTTAGCTAATTAGTAACCGACAATTAAATGGTTAGTAATTGATAGTTAAATAGTTAACCAATTAGTAAGAAAGAACTCATACGTATGTAGGGAAAAAAATGTACAAAATTAACAAGTGGAAGAGATCTTCTGTTGGTTAGATTACAGATCGGTTATTTTAATCTAACATTGTCAATCACTTGCTTGACGTTCATCTAGTTAATAGTTACATCGGTATGAAAAAATGAGCAATGATAGGTGATGGTTCATGGTTGTTGTCCCCAGGCCAGGCCAACACCAATAATATAGCTAGAGTGTACAGTTACATGCACGTTTTAGTTAGGTGGGATGGTAATAAGTAATTTAAATAAATAAATAAATAAGGAAGTCTTACAATTATAGGTGTCAAAACATAGCCCGACCCGATTAACCCGCCCGATCAACCCGACCCGCAACCCAACCGCAACCCGAATTGACTAAAAGTCAACAACTCGTAACCCGCCCGACCCGCAACCCGATTGACCCGCAACCGAACTAACCCGCAATCCGACTCACCCGCAACCCGATTAACCAGAATCCGATTGACCCGCAACCCGACTGACCCGCAACCCGATTAACCCGAACCCGATTGACCCGAACTCGACTAACCCGTAACCCGACCGACTCAACCCGAATTTCATCTAATCCACTTGAATAATATAAAAATATACAATACATAGTTTTTCAAAATAAAGTTTTTCATTCTAAACTTAAATAAAATTATTTTTTCATTTCGTATAAGAAATTTAAAAAATATGAAACTCACTTGATATTACGTATTTTAAGAAAATTACAAAAATTGAAACATGAAGGTCACTTGAGATCATGACAATATTAATATAATATATAAATTAAAATTTTGGTTAATTTAACTATTCAATAAAATTATCAATTAAATATAAATAAGGTAAACTAATGTATTTGGTAATTTGATGTTTTTAAAAGAAGAGGGAAATTTTGGTGTATTCAAGTTTTTGGGAAGAGAAAGAAGAGGCAAATTTGTTTCTTTGAATTTTTTAGAAAAGAAACAAGTGGGAATTTTGGTGGTTTTGATATGTGGGAAGAGAAAAAAGTGGGAAAGTTTGATTTTTTTGATTATGAAATAGAAATAAGGAGGGAAACTTTTGACTTTTCAACTTTTTGTAGAAGGAAAGACGAGGGTAATTTGGTTCTTTCAATTTTGTGGAAGAAAAAGAGGAGGGAAAATTGGGTTTTTCTAATGTATGGAAGGAGAAAGAAGGAGGGAAATTTTAGTATTTTTGTGAAAAGAAAGAAGGAAACAAATTTGGTGTTTTCAATTTTTTAGCTTTTCATAATTTTAGCTTTTGAAATATGAATTTTTAACTTTTATATGGCGGGCATGACTAGTTAAAATTATTCTTATATGCTTTGAAGGCTAATATGTATATATTTATGTAATTGTTTATGGGCTAATAAATGAATTAACCATTAGTTACAACAATTTATACTAAACTTGATAAGTAATATTTGACGGTTCGTTGTTTAGGATATAAAGTATATGGTTAGGGTATAAGGTATAAGGTACATATGGTTTAGGGTGTATATGGTTAGGGTATAAGATATTGATGGTTTTGACGGTTCTAAGTTTTTTATTAACATATGTTCACTTGAAGTCATTTGAAGTCTTTAACGGCAGGAGATCCCTTTTTAATTTATGTTTATGGTACGTGGTTAGGGTACAAGGTATGTGGTGTAAAGTATAGGATATATGGTTAGGGTATAACAATTAGCAAATATCACTTTTTATCTATGTTTTGAAAATCAAAGTATGAATTTCACTTTTAAATTAATTATACTAGCAAAATCACAACTCAAGGACATATGGTTAGGGTATAGGTTATGTGGTTAGTGTATAATGTATTGATGGTTTAGGGTATACAATCAACAACATATACTAACTTAATATTGTTGATTGAGGGTAAGGCTAAGTGTATAGGATATATGCTATTGAGTAAGTTATGATTGAAGTCACAATAATTTTACTAAATTTGATAGCTAATCTTTAATGGTTCAATTTTTAGGATAATTCGAACAATTTTACAAATAACTCGTTTGGCAACAGTTTACTGAAGTTATTTGGGCAATGAGTTATTTTGAAATAACTCCTTTTATCACTATGCTTTTGCCAATTATCACACGCCAAATACCAGATTTGCATGGTTATACTAAACGAGATACTTTAATTCAATTACTACTGAATTAATACTAAAATATCAAATAAACAAATAACGGTGTCTTTTGGTTGCAAACATTGATATCACCATTACTATTAGCTATAATACTTTACCAATTATGATTAATTACATAACAAGTTTGCAAGTCATACAAATTGATTTAAAATTTTGACTAGTTTTTTTCAAAAAAATAAAGCATATATATACGAGGTAGAAATAAATTGGTTAAAAAGTTGAGAAAATATTTTAAATTAGCGTAATAAAATGTGTAAGTTGGTAATGAGTAATGAGTTAAGTTACTTGATGCGCTGGCCCGAACAACCCGAAACCCAACCCGCTCGCAACCCGTCCGACCCAAAACCCGATGAACCCGCAACCCGATTTGCCCGCAACCCGATTGAACCCGAACCCGATGAACCCGCAACCCGACTAACCCGCAACCCGTTTGAACCCGAACCCGATGAACTGAACCCGATGAACCCGCAACCCGACTAACCCGCAACCCGTTTGAACCCGAACCCGATTGAACCAGCCCGAACCCGCCCGATTGACACCTATACTTACAATGCAAAAAAAAAAAAAAACAACCAGAAATGACAGAAAAAGAAGAAGACAACTATATGCCTTCTTCTTCTTCTTCCTCGACCTTTATTTCACTAGCAGCCTATCTAGCCACTAGCTTGGAAACGCATACATATTACACACAGATTTATTCATAGGGATACTCAGTCGAACAAGAGTAGTCCGACTTATTAATAAGCTGTTGCAATTTGGAGGAGACAATCGAGCAACTCTTTTGTTTTGCAGAACATGAGCTTATGGTCTCCTCCAGCAATGGCATAGACCTTGTCTGGCTTAAAGTTTTCGATCTGCCACAGCTGAAACTCCTTGGTGAGGATCAAGTCTTCATCACCATAAATGTAGACTCTCTTCACCGAACCATATCCTTCCTCTGTGAAGTTCTTCTTTTTGGCTAAATCATCTTGGAACAATGACCCTTTCCTTGTCAACATCCTCGCCAGTTCATAATCCTTCAGCAGTAGTACACAGATGTCAACATGCATATATATATTTAGCTAAGAGATTTTAGATTTTAGATAGATATTTACTTATTTATTGTACCTCAAGAGGGGAGTTCTGGTAGATGTTCTGCTTCAGAAGCTCGTGCCCAAGCTTGACAGATGCTACCGTCTCATTCCCGCTTTTGTATGAAGAGAACTCAGAGTCTTTCCAGTCAGAAAAGAAATTCTCCACAAACTGCATGAATAACTCGGATGGTTTTATTTATAGCTGGACCAAGTTACAAATTCTGTTACTAAACATATTTATTTTACAGAATACTGTTAGCTCATATTAAAACTGATAATAATGCATGTAGGGATTCATGATCGACCATTAAGTAACTAAGTTGATCTTGATTGACCCATCAAGCTGCTACAACCCGATTTGGCACAATTAATCTCATGCTAAGAAGAAAATTGTAGTGTTTTGAGTTTGCAAAATTGCGTCAACCTGATCGATATGGTGTTTGAACAGACTAATTTCTCTTTCCAAATCAATCTAATTGCTCAGTATAAAACTTCGAAAATATAGTTTTTTTTAAGATCCCTATAAAACTGGCCAATTGGAAACTAAAACATTGAAAACTGTATGGATTTGTGGTCCCTATAAAACTTTGGATAAAGAAACATGAAATATAGTTTTTTTTTATTATAACTTATTTGGTAGAAGGACTAATGTAGGTATTATTATTTGATTCTCTTTTCTATTTTAGATCCCGAATTTGATGACCACTACCACCTATTCTTACCATTCATGTAAAACTGAATATGAATTCAACTGTTCATAACTACATGTGCTTAAAAGAGGCTAACCTAATTTAGAAATAATATTGCCTATACTTTCGCACTCCACTTAGCGGAATTGTACCGTATCCACGACATAAGAAGGCTTGTGTTGGGTGTCAGGCATGAGAGCATTGACATAGACGGCGGCCGCAATTTTTTGAGGGAACTTGTCGGCGGCGATGGTGACATTAATCCCGCCGTAGCTCTCCCCGACCAGAATCACCTTCTCTCCTTCGGGAAGAGATTCCAGCAGCTTGAGCAAGGGCTCCGAGTACTCTTCCACCGACCCGACTTCTTCGAACGGACGCGGGTCGGCACCGCTGGCCGCCAGATCGATGGCGCTCACCTTGTGCCCGCCGGCGGCTTCAAGCAGCGGTTTCAGCTTGTACCAAACCCATGCACCGTGGCAGGCTGCATGAACCAACACGAAATGCTTCTTACTACTGTCACTCTCCATTTCCATATGTTAAGCGTACTTGCTCAATCAAACTAGTTAGTACGTGGTTTTGACTGAATGAAAAGAAAAAAAATGGAGCCAAGCTATAGGTTCTTAAATATATTGGCGTCCACTGATTTACTTGGCGTTATATGCGGTGTCGTGTTGTGTATGATTTTCGTATCAAAAGAATTATTGATGACATGCATGGTTACCCAATACGACAGCTAGCATTTACCCTACATCCCTCTAAAGCATCTTTTTCTTATAAAATTTTTTTATCGACATCGATTCATCGACCATGTCCCTGTCACATTTATCCTCCCGAGAAAATAATTAAGATTACAATTATGATAGGGTACCAACTTCTATATTTTTATTCTCCTACGGTTTGGTTGACGGGTGTGTATAAATTTCCCACGTTTTAATAGTTCTACATAGGATGGTTATACGGTTCAATCCAGTTAAATTGACCTAAATTGATTCAGTCCCGATCCGGTTTTTCGGGAATATAAGTATCAAAGATTGGATTGGATACAGTCCGGTCTTGACTTAGTCCGATCCCAATTCGGTCTTGATTTTAGATTTATTTTTATTCTCCTTTCCACCCCGCCGCGCACCAAAATCCGCCGCAACCCTACCCCACCACCACACCCAGTCCCACAGCCGAACCCTCGATCTCTCCCCATGCCGCCACGGCCAAGGTCCTCTCCATGGGCCAGTTCAAGATCCTCAAGCGAGGAGAGGAGATCCAGAAGGACAAGGGGAACTCTCCAGTCGTCGGATCAGCCTCAACTGCAACAAGTAGCCATTACTCGATACCATCGTCGAGGAGCCGCCGAACCGTCGTCGTCGCTATCGCCAATCGAGCGCTTCATCTCCCAGTCGCCCCCATCCCCCTCTTTTCTTCGTGTTCGTCGCAAGCACAACGCCCTCTCTTCTCCGGTCGCAGATCTGCGATTTTCCTAATTCTCGCCGATTTTGAAGCTTTGCGAGATCAAAACAAAAATCGTGTGGAGTCTTAGATCTGGGTGGATTGGGAGTGGGAGGAGAGGATATGAGTTTGGGGGTTGGGTGGATTTTGGATCTGGAACGCTGTCGGAGTGGGAGGAGAGGATATGGGGGTTGGGGTCGGTGGTGGAAGGCGGAGTGACCGAGTGGGAGGAGATGAATAGGGTTTGGGAATCGGGGTTGGTGCCTTGGTGGTGGAAGGTGGAGAGTGTGAAAGGAGAGGGGTTGGTCGCCGGAGATGCGAATGGAAGGAGACGTTTTCATATCTTTTTTTGTTTTATTTTCTTTATCCAAAGATATTCTGGATTTATTTATTTTGTTTTATGAAATAGTTAATTAATTAACTTATTTATTTTTAAATTAGAATATGACATGACACTTATGTGGCAAGTGTGGTTGAGTTGTCGCTGATGTGTGCGATGATTTGGCATCCTCGTCAGCGTTCCGTCAAACCATTTAACGGAGTTTCTAACACCATTAAAGTTTATAACAGAATTGGCTAGATTTGTCACACTATCTCCATTTTTTGGGCTATTTCAGGTTTTCGAAAAGATATGGCTATATTTGTCACAAACGTGAAAGTTATGGCTATACAAGTGGATTTTGCCTTAAAACTATGATTGTATTACTTACGGTCACTTGTTTTGCATGATGCTAACTCTTTATGGTTAGCAAGCTAAGAAATCTCTAAAATTTAGCTAAATAGGGTTATATCAATAAAACATAAAACACTAGGGGGTGCATTTCGAAAATGAGATAATTTAGAATAAATGATTCGATTGAAGAAATTTGTCCAAAATTATCGTTTGGAATAAGATGTATCCGAGAAAATGTAGGTGAGTACTGTCAGTGAAATATCAGTGTACCCTTTCCATTAAATAATAATATCAAAGGAATTGAAGGAAGTCATTACCATGGTTTGTGAAACCTTAAAGTACTTGCAGTTCAACCGCAAAATACAAGTACTAGAGACTAAACTGGTAAGCGGTATTTACTATTTAGTGGTATTAATGGTTGAACTACAGTTAAAACATAATTTAACCATAAAATACTCTACCACTAACTTTTGTGATACGGTTTCAAAAATCTTTGTCATTCATCATCCACAAACATAGAAAGTTAGTTCTTTCCGTCAAGAATCACCATCCCTTTGTAACCTTCCATTGTCTGTGACTTCTAGTGTTCAATTCATTAGAGAATTGTAAGCAAACACAAGCCTTTTATCAAAGAAGTATACGTAACAACATAAGATGAGCAACATGCCCTCCATCTCATGGAACAATCCTTTTACTTTAGGTATCCCCAATCACATATTTTTCTTTCATGTTATGAGTAGGATCTTGACTCGCCTTTGTAGTATGATAGGGAAGCCGATGTGTTTTGATAAATCCTCTAGGCTTGGGAGACGTCTTGGTTACCCTAAATTGTGTGTTAATATGGGAGGTGATTCAAAGTTCCTAGAGTCTCTAAAGTTTGTACTTGATCGTAGACCGACTTTCTCGGTTCAGCTTGAATATTGCAATAAGCCTAAGATATGTACTACGTGTAAGCAGTTTGGGTATGTATGTGTTGAGATGGATTCCTCTGTTCAGGAGGAGGCTGTAGTTCAGGAGGAGGTAATATAGCAAGAGTCAGAATTCAGGGTGGAAGAACTTGTTGTGGCTGCTCTGGTTCCTGAGAATATAGGAGTAGAAACTATCTTTGATAGCTGCTTGACTAAGGTGGGTCTTCAACAAGCTCTTTCTAACCTGGTCGATTCGCTTACTACTGAAGCGAGTTGGCCTTGTCCATCCAACTTTGAAACTCTTCCCCTGATCAGGAGTTCAATCTACAGTTAGCCACTCTTGCCCGGATATATTTGAAGTTGTTAGTAGGCAGGAAGTAGGAAGTAGACATTATACCTATATTAGAAACAAGAGTAAACAAAGAGACGGTGGAAGGCATTGGAGATGAGTATTTCCCTGAATAGAAGTTAGAAGATGTATATTATGATTTATGACTCATTTCTAGGAGGAATTCGGGTTATGTGGAAGGAAGAGATTGACTTTACTATGTTGGAAAAAGGAGACCAGTTTATTCATGAGGTGGTGAAAGGTGAAGAGGAGTTACAGATCACATTTGTCTATTATTATAATGAAGTCAAGGACCGACTAAGCATGTACAATAAGTAGAAAGTAGTGGTGTGTAAGAATAATCCATGGGTGATGGTGGGGATTTCAATGCCATCCTCAACAGTTCTGAAGCCTATAATCTGGTGGACTTAATTGGTAGAAAGTAGATCGAATTTTGTAGTTGGATTGAGGATATGCAGTTAGCATATCATAGAGTGGATGGCTCACGGTGCAACTAGACTAACAAACAAGTGGCTAATCCTATTTCTAAGTGTCTGGATAGGGCCTAGTTACTAATGAGTGGCTAGTTTCTTACCCACATAGTGCACTCAAGATTCTTCCTACAGGGTTGTCTGACCACTGCAGTTCACTAATCCACATATTGAAGCTAAGACTTTACGGCCATTCAAGTATTTTAGTTTTTGGAACCAACATCCTGTCTCTGATAGATTAGTAAAATAAGGTTGGGAACATGGAGCTCAAGGTTCTATGATGTTTTTCTTATATAAACAAACTTAAAGAGAGTGAAATCATATTGAAAAACTAAATAGAACGCATTACTCAGATATCCAAGAGAGAGTCCTAGACTCCTAGTGGCTAAAGCAACACTTGTAGCAGCTGAACTGGAAGGTCTGAAGTGTCCCACCCCCGAGGCTTTTGAAGCTGAACATGGGTTTATGGTCCAACTTCTTGAATTCTAGCATGTTGAGGAGTTGTTTGTTTGCCAGAAATCTAGGCAGTTGTGGGTATCTAGTGGTGCTTTAAACACCAAGCTTTTCCACATTCATGTGAAGTCTAGAAATAACAAGAATACTATCAGACAACTTGTTCCTTAAGAGGAAAGGTGATTATTGATGTGGAGGAAATAGGGAAGGAAGCAATCTGGTTCTATAAGGGTCTCTTTGGGGTGAAGGATCAAAAGGTGAGAAAATACCCAGTTAACATGATAAAAAAGGTACTGGTGTATCAATTACCGTATGATGTGGATTTCCTCTGCAACCTGGTATTAGTTGAAGAAATTAAAGCTGTAGTATTTGAAATGAACAGGGAAAAGCCCTTACGCCAAATGGGTTCTCTGAATTCTTTCATGAGAATTGGTCTGTGATAGGTAGTTTGGTTACTCATGTTGTTCAAGAGTTATTTTCCAGATAGAATGCTAAGGGAGGTCAATAAAACTATCCCAACCCTCATTCCAAAGATCTCTAATGCTTATACAAAGAAGCAATATAGAACCATCTCATGTTGTAATTTCTTTTATAAGTGCATATCTAAGGTCATAGCAGTTAGACTTAGAGATGTACTTGCTTTAGTCATCAGTCACAATTAATCTTCCTTTATTGAGGATAGAATGATAAGTGATAACATCATCTTGGCTAATGACATGGTGAAGTGATACGTAAGAAAAAATATCTCTCCAAGATGTGATGTGATGGTAGACATTATGAAAGCCTCTATACTGTAGATTGGGGTACCTGTTTCATGTGACAACGCCCATGGGGTTCCACTATGGGGTCGTTTGGATGAGGGAATGTGTAAACGTGGGATTTGGATTAAAATCTCTCAATTAAAAAGCTAGATATTTTAAACGCAGGATTTGACCGAAATAACTTGTTTGGGAATGGATGAAGAATTTTAATTAAAAAATTAAAATTACAATTGTACCCATATATTTCTACACATCTGCGTTTGATTCTTCTTCTTCCCTTTCCTCTGCGGCGTGCTTCCGAATATCTTGAACCAGAAAACAATAGCCATCGATCGGATCTAGAGGGAGGTTGGTTTTGGGCAGTGGGCAGCTTTCACTCTCAATCCCTACTGGAAATTGCTCCGCCAGTGCCTTCCAAACAGAGCCATTGTCTTGGGTGGGAGAAGGGACGCAGCTGGACTTTGTGTCAGCGGCTGCAAGTCTCCACCGCAACTCGCGATGGCTGCTTCATCCATGAAGCTTCGGTGGCTGGTAGAATCGAGATAGCGGGACACCCAACATTTGCGGTTGCGGAGGGTTGGGATCTAATCTGGCGCCGTCGATGTTGATGTTGGACATAAAGGAAGATAGACGGAAGTTTGGGGAAGAGTGACGAAAAGATTAAGTGATGGGAGGGATGAAGGAAGAACGAAGGAATAAAGGAGGGGCACAATTTGGAAAATAGTGGAAAAAAACAAGTGATTATTTTAAAAATTCTCATTTGAGAGATTTCGAATTCTCTAATATCCACAATCTCTCTTCTTTCCAAACGCATGATTGTTTTAAAATCCTGCACAATGAGAGATTGTTTTAAAATCCCTCATAAATCCCTTATCACAATCCTCCATCCAAACGACCCCTATAAGTTTTTAAGTTGGATTAGGAATTTCCTGGAGAGTGATTCCTTTACAATGTATGTAAATAGGGGGTTAACTGGACACTTCCCAGATCGAAAGGGTACATGCAGGGGGTCCCCTCTCACCCTACATCTTTGGTGATTGCTGTGGAACACTAAGTTGTATGCTCAATAGGGCTACAATAACTAAGTCTTTTTCTTTTCATTCATTGTGTTAGAGAATTAGTCTTTCTCACTTATGTTTTGCAAATTATCAGCTTATATTCACAAATGAATCTGTGGCAAGGTGGCAGAAGTTTTAAGAAAATTATATCTTATCTCTTGCTTGAAGTGCAATCCCTAAAAGAATAAACTTTTTTGTGCATGAATGGGAGAGGAATTAAAGGCATAATTGATCTTGCAATCAGGTTTTACAGAGGGTTCACTTCTTGTAAGATACTTGGGGGTTATCCTAATTGCAGGAAAGTTAAAATCCAATGAATGCAAAGTTATGGTAGAAGGGACTACTCATAGAATCTCAGGACGATAAGCCAAAACCCTTTCGTATGCTGGGAAACTGCAGTTGGTGACTTCTATCTTAGC